GTATTTCTGATTTTTTTAAGTGTCTGCTTAATGCCAAACAAACCAATTTATCCATTACAAAAAGACAAAACAAACTTTTATTGTCTGAAACCATTTCATGTGTTTAATGCAATTTATCAATAACAACTGGAGGCAGCACAAGCTTGTCTAAATAATTGTGATTATAATAATCAATATCATACTAACTTATTAATATGGGTGTTCTAATCAGGGAAATTGGAAATGCACAGTACAAATGCAATGTTTCCATTATATTGTTGCCACATTTATACCTACAATGTTTGGAATTGTGTTTCAAAAGTAACATTTTGAATTTAATACAATATTGTGCTTAATTAAAGCATAGTCACTTTTTTAAGGAACATACTGTACTGTATGTTTTGACTGACATGCTAAAATTTCAAGTATCTGTCTTCATTTACACATGGATAGTTGTATTATATTGCAATTGTATACACCTCAGAATAGTAAATACTACATACTACACAATTTAGAATTGAAGACATCTTTCTGTATTGCAAACATCCCAAGAAATGTAAAAAATTAGTGGTTACTGTAACACATACCATGCATAAACTGGCTGTACTGTATAAATGGTCTCTAGTAAAAGTAAGGACAAGTGCTGTTTTATACTGTCAAAACTGAAGATAATCCAGCCATTTCATGCTGTACTAAAACAGAGTAAACATTTCATCCCATGTGACAGAACACTATTTCATGACCATATTTTCGTTATGTAAAAGCCAAAAACAAGAGGCCACCGACACAGTGCTGGATTTTAAAATGTGTGATTTGTGGGTGAGGGAGGGATGTTGAAGAACTGATTTAATCCAAAATTTAGTCAAATGTGGAAAATTGTCAACTGAAATAACAGCACGAGTTTATTTAATATGATGACAGCTTTGAGCACATTCATAAGTTTTTCAAACAACTCACGCCTGGTTATACATCAGTGTATAATTCACAAATACACTGTGAATGCAATGCTTTAAACACATTTTAGTTAAAAGGTTAACACTGAAGCACAAGACAGATAAAAACAAAACTGTTTATAGCTTAGATTCCTATTTATTCATTCACTTCACAGGTAATATCTTAATTCTACCCTTAATAGAAAATATAACCATATGCAATGGAACTCAGAAAATATATTCCTTTGTTTAGCAATACGTGGATTAGTTTAACAGTGACATTGCTATGTAGATTACAATCCTGGTACACTCTATTTACAATTTTCCAATCTTTAATCTATTTCTTTAATAATTCAGTTGCTATCCCAACACACAATAATTATTTACTGGAACCTTTAAGATAAACCAGAAAATATAAAAAAGCAGTTTCACATTGGGCTTTTATCCCAAGCATTAAAAAAATCAAAGACAAGCATCACTATGCACAACTGTCAACACAACTGTAGCCGAGTTTTATTTTTATTACAGATTTGAGGAGGTGGAGAGTAATGGAGACTGATGAGACCGTGATGACCGAAACTCTAAGAGTGAAGGAAAAGCATCTCACTGGCTGCAACGGGAACGAGGTGTTTTTCCAAGACGGCCTGCCAGTCAATCAGTTCTGTGTTCGTTGGTTCCGAGCGCCATGTGAAAAGCCGTCATCCCCTGCGCCTGGGCTGTCTCTGTCATCTCCCGTGCTGGCCGGGGGTCTCGCTGTCGGAGGAGTCGCTGTCGCTGCTGCTGGGCTTGACGCTGGGCTGCGGTTTGCACAGGGGGCTCGTGGCACTTGGGGTGCTGAAGGTGCTCCACGTGTCGGGGCTGCTGGGCTGACTTAACGCTCTGCTGTGATAGCCCGGAGAAGGAACTATGCCAGAAAAAGCAGATTGGAAGGCCATTTCATTTTTAATACGACTTGGACACCACAAGTTGTTTAGCGGTAATGTCTGTGTCTAGTGTCTTGCACGCGTATTCTCCCCCTGCCAATGAATACGTGCATTGAATTCCCGTTTTGTTGAACTAAAAAATAATAAAGATATTTTTTTAACCGAGTATTTTTACTTAAAACGTCAGCGCTGAAATTGAACACTTTTATTGGGTGAAAGAGTTGGCAAGCACTGCAAAGAAAAATTGAAATCAATATTAAAATATGCACATTGCATTCGTATTCTCTCCCCTGAGTCAACTAAATCAATAATCTGGGGAAGCACCTCTGGTGTCAATTAGAGCTTCAAGTTCTTTTGTGGGTGTTTTGTAACTTTACACAATGGAATGCTGTAATTTTCCCTCCTTCCCCTTGGCTAATTGGCTTAACCTCTATCACGTTGGGAATTGTTGAGGGTCAGACATTTTCACGTTTTGCCCCATATTTTCTATCGGATTAAATCAGGATTTTGACTGGAGTGTAGCTCTGGCCTTGTGTTTTGGGACAATGTTCTCCCTGAAGGTGAATTTTCATCCCATTTTTAGGTCTTTAGCAGACTGAAGTGTGTTTTTCAGATTCAGTCATTGAATTTTTTATATCCTTCTCCTGATTTGTGTCTTTCTCTTCCCTATTTACTGAAGTGTTTTGAAAGCTTTTCAGTCTTCATAGTTGAATATTTGTTTGAAAAGTTCTACCTGACTGAGAACATTACAGTTCACCTAAATTAATTTCTGCATACAGTATCATAACATAGGGGTGCACACTTGTACAATCAACATAATTTAGTATTGGATTTTTCCCTGGAGTTCACCTATAAGTGTTCGGATGGAACTTTAAAGTTCTGATTGCAATATTCACTTTTAAAAAAATGGGGCATCTTCAGAAGAGGTGAACACTTTTGCAAGGCACCATACGTTTAAATAAATGTTTAAGTGTTTTCTTATAAGGAATTCATTCAGGCTTTTAGAATACTAACACTCAACTGGTGTGGTTTTAATGCACATCCTAAAATATGATTCTTCTCACAAACTGCAGACAGCAGACAAGCATATTAGAGAAAGTTTGAGACTTATTACAAGACAAAAATTTTTAGACATTTTTACATTTAAACATTCTAAACTACGGAATATGTCCATCTAGGAACAGTTTTCACATCTCAGTCTAAATGTTTATGATACATTCCACATTAGTCTTAATTTTGATTTATTAGAGGTTAAACATTTTAGAACTACCAACGCAGAAGGAAACTACAGTTTATTTCTCTTAAAACGCTTTTTAATTTTCCATAGTGCAAGTGAGAATAAGCAAAATGAAATTCAATGCAAGTGTAACTATTAGATCGCAGTATTTTGCACTGAATTCTGGAAACACTCTGACAGAAAAATACTTTATCAGGCAAAGAGGGCTTCCAGTACATAGCACCAAAAACACAGTAACCAGATAAAGAGATTCTTACCTCCATGACCTTGACCAGCACTTACTAGGCTTTCACGTTATGGGACCTGCTTAAAACACTTACCGCTCAAAAAATTCTGTTTAACGTTGCTGCTTTCCAATCGCGGCCGAGGTGATGGCCTTTCAGGGGTAGAGACAGAGCTCTTGAGGCTGGAAACGAACGTGGAGCAGGTGTCAAGATCTCTCCAGACCTTGTCGTGGGTGTAGGTGGCTTTAGATTTCGAAGGAGTGCAGCCCATTGCCGTTTCTCCATCAGGGATGAAAAGCTTCAGATCGTTTAATCACCATCCACCAGCGGCTGAAACATCTGTAAGAGGACTACAGAACGTACTCCCATGGTTACTTCTGCTGCCGATTGTCCATCCTCCACCATCCCCTCCCCCCCTCCATCTCGGCAGCCAGTCTTTGAAGTGTGGTGGAGCTTTGATGCAAGTGCTCTCCAAAGAGACATTTCAGCATCGATGTCAGACCCTGTGAAGGGCTGCCGCATGTGGCGCACACTTTAATTATACAATCTACCGCATTTTCAAGGATTTATCACATAAACATTTTCAGCTACTGTACATGTGCTCCTGAGAGTGGACTCTTTTGTAAAGGGAAAGGTCCTAACTTGTATAATAACAATTCATCAACAGGACATACTGTATGACGGCAGTTTAAAGACATGGAAATGGGGTCTATAGTGCAGACATCGTAGGACTGTATGGTTTAAGCACTGCTTGAAGCCACTGCAAAAAAGAATTATAGCAAAGCAATCGCACGTCATTACGTATGAAGCTAACAGAATAATGATAGTAGCCACTTGAATAAGAAATGACCCATTATGACATACATATTCATTATTTAGGAAACTAAAGAATTATATCAATGTCTACATGGATGATCCAGTGAAGGAAAGGACTTGGTTAAGAGAGGGATTAAGACATTTTCTTCTGTATCCGATTACAACCTCGAGCAAGAAGCTTCTTCATAAAGAAGAGAAAACCTTACTGACCAACACAAAATGCAGCTAGGTATTCCAATACCAATTAAACTTATACCAATACAAATAAAAACATCTGGCCATTGTACCCTATATAAGAAATAGTCTCATTTCCCCCCTCTGTCAAACTTCATTCTTTATAACAACTTAGATTTGACAGTCCCATTGGCATTAAACATCCCAGTCCATCACCCCTTAAGATTCCTTTTAGTTATGGATCTTCCTTAAATGCTTTTATCGGTCAAAAATATGTATTTTTGACAAACTTCCACCTAACTAGAATCTGCTGAAAGGAAGTGAAATGCCGGTGCTGGCTGCTTCCTCTTGATACACACTTCTAGTAAAATGTTGTGGTGTGCTCGGTTGTCAAAATACACATCTTTTATCAAAACAAGGGTATAAAAACACGTTATCTACAAGGTTAAAAACAAATAATTCTGCATACACATGGTGTTATCCAGGCTGCAGCATCTATGTCTTAAATGAGATGAGGACTTCGGAACCTTAAGATGACATTAACTATATGAAAGGGATGCGAATCTGATCTTTGTCTTCAATAAAAGCTTAGTCCAATATAGGGTTATGGCAAACCAAAGCCAAACCTGTTAGACAAGGACACACCAGGGGACACCAGTCCAACACAGCACAAAAACACTCACTCAAACATACATTCAGAGAAACTAATTAACATACTCGTTCTTTGGCTGTGGGAGAAAATTTCTAGTACCTCATTCATTCACTCTTAGCTGTTGAATCAAACCCTAAAAGTTCTTTAGACACCAATAATAAGAACGTTTTTTTTTTGTGGAAACAAAGTCAGGACTGCATACATTTTAAAAACAACTTGTAAAAAGCAATTCACATGCTGTTTATTATAGGAATGCATCCATTTGAAAAACTGCCGATCTGTTCAGAACATTTTATTTATTCAATGATGTAAAAATCCACAGGTAGATAATACATAGCTGGGCACTGGGAGCCAATTTTGAGACAGTTGACTTTTTTGGCTGCTGTGCTTTCCCATTTTAGATGGGGATGGTTCAGGCCTGCTTTCTCCTCGCTGCTGCCTCAGGAGATGTTTTCCTCCAACACATCTGAAAATGACCCCAGGAAAATGATATGCCTCACGTGCTGGTGTCAGACATGGATGTTTCTAACATCATGTCACTTTCGTACACGTCAAACTCAAACGGGACAATAGGTCGAGGAGCAGTCCCAGCTGATTTGTCAGGATGAGGTGTAGTTTCTAAAGACATGATGCTGCTCTCCTCGAGAGTCTGATTTTGGCACTCGCTGGTGTCCACTGTGCTGGTGTTGGCTGTGGTGGAGTTCACTGTGCTGGTGTTGAGCATTTTCATCAGGGCAGGTGTACTGAGGGGGCTGCGGAGCTTGTCCTTGAGGTCAGTTCCTAAAATGAGTTTCAAATTCGATTAGTTATGTATTTACACATTAAGCTCACCACCACCCCCACTTTGCAAAAATCACTAATGAGGTTGCTGGTAAAAACTGTCTACTTACCTATGTAGGCTTCCTCATCACCAATGTACATTTCAATACAGTGCCCCAGCATGGTCACAGAAAATGCGTCATCTCTTTTAACAGCAAGGGCCTGTCATAAAACAAGCAAATAAAAAACACAAGGAAGTTAACAATTACTAATGGAGTAAAATTAGCTAAATTAAAAACATCACACTTTTAACTGCTTCTTGTTCATCTTAAGAGACCAACTTAAGAAATCCTCTGTATGCTAATTAAAACCATCAATATGAACATTATACAGAAATTAATTTTAAAATTCAAGCGTGACATTCAGAAACAAAAATGAAAAAAGGGAATAGCTACTGGAACTGTATCAAAGCAGGACATCAAAGATGGGCTTAAAAGAAAACATTCATGCCAATGAATTCCGCAGCCGGCAGAGGAATCCTTCTCCGTTGGGCCCCTGAGCAAGGCCCTTAACCCCAACTGCTCCAGGGACACTGCATAAATGGCTGACCCTGCACTCTGACCCGAAGCTTCTCTCCCTGTTTGTGTCTCATGGAGATCAAGCTAGGGTATGTGAAAGGACAAATTCCTAATACAAGAAATTGTATAGCGCTAATAAAGTGATCTTATCTTAATGAGTTAAAAAGATACAACAGACAACTTGATTTACGCCAGAAGGTTACTGTCAAACATGCTGAGCTTTGGTGCTAACTTTGACTTGAAGGCAAGAAACTTACTGTGTGAAAGTAGTCAATGGCACTCTCAAAGTCTCCCATGAGGCTGTGCACATATCCAATGGCAGCATATGTCGAGGCATGCTGGGGAATTAGTACAAGAGCCTGTCGATGGTACTCCAGAGCTTGATCATATTTCCTAAGAGGAGATAAAGTTTGTCAGGAATATTATTTAATGTTCCTAAAAGAAGGCTCTTCTCATCCCTTAAATGCTAATGGTCATGTATACATATGTGTATAACAAAAAATTGAAATTGAGGAACTCCAATTAGACTCCATACTGCACATTTATAGGCTTTTAAGGCTTCTCTTACTCAGATACATGTCTTCTTTATTCCTCATAAACATAAATTAGAACATGTACTGTACATTAAAACTCAGATCAAACCAAGTCTCAAAAATGCTTCAGTTGATAGAGCTATTACAACTAAAGTGTACAATATGTTTTAGGTTGCACTGATCTGTTTGAGAAACACAAATGAATGTGAGGTGTAAAAAAGACAGGACAAGCATGTGAAGAGTGATCTTCATATACAGTATGCAGTCCAGCTCCTTTTCTAGTGAATGTCTGTTTACTGCATAATTCAAGACGTTAGATTAAGAACATAAATTACAGGCCCACGTTTGTGAATTATTTATGGAAGGGGAGAATGACACAAACTTTTCTTTAATCATTCTTGTCACCTATAATAGACCACCTCTGAAGAAGATACTGAACACTTCAATTTGAATCTTTTTTTTTTAATTTACAAGATTGTTTTTCGAACCTGAAGAGGAACAGAATCACACTAGCAACTGCTGCTCCTCTCGTGATGTTCACTCAATTATACAGCAACAGCAAAAGGAAGCCTGCCAGAAAAGCACTGAAGGAAGTGGCACTTAATGTGGGTCATCAATAACAAAAGAAGCACTACAGCAGCTTTGGAATTGCAAATTTCACCTGTTTTCCAGGATTAACACTGAGAAATATTTTGGTTTCTTATTCTTGTTATTCACTGGAGGTTGAAATTTCTGAACGCTGCATTAGTCCAAAGAGCGGGGACCTCAAGCTGGCTATATTTTGAAAAATGTGCAGACAGAAATGATATCACAATTCAGAAAGCAGAAATCTTTCAAAGATGGAACAACTACACAGGTGTGAATTACACATGGAAGCTAGCTGTAGTGAGCACTAATTATCTTTAAAAAGCTCTTATAATGAATTAGATGCCTTTAAATCCAATAAGGACTCGTGTTTGTGAGGCCGCCTCCCCGACTTCAAATGTGGTTTCTTTATTAGTTTGGCTCAAGTCTTGTTAAGTCCTCTGTGTGAACTACTGCTTCTAGAGGTGCTGTCCTTCATGAGGGTCTGATTTCCACACTCACTGGTGCTAAGAATTTATCATCAGAGCCGGAGAATTAAGTACTCCCATAGCTTGTCTTTAGGGTAAGTGTCTAATTGCCCTAGAACATATTCTTTGTCTTTTAGAGATTAAAATGTTCAGCCAGGTAAGTAACCTGCACAGGAGAACTACAGCAGACCGCAATGATTGTTTTGCTGCACCCACAACCCTGGAAATATTATATTACATTTTGCTTTGGAAAGGCCGGAGAAACAATGGAGAATTGTATTTTATCCCTTTCCACGCATCAACCTGTTTAGCTGGTCTCTGAGAGCAACAGTAATGCTCTGTCATCTCATGCATATTTTAAATTCCTTGCAAGGAAATACATCTGAAACCCTGGCATGGCTCACAGGTTGTTGCCTGACACCTACGGCACATTGTATTGTAAGCAGCATAAAGATGCAGCTAAAATGTCATCTTGCATAAAAACATAACTGCAGCCCTCCACTGCAAGGTTCACCTGCTATTTGCTTAAGTGGTACCAACGAAAGAATAACATTTCAAAATTATTATGTTATATTATATGTTTTAAAAAATACATGGTACAACAATACAGCTGCCTTGTGAGAAAATCATCTATTAAACCTCAGTACGGACAATGAGTTAAGAACGTTTTAATGTGCCAAAGGTAAAATGAGAAGGCTTTCATAAAGAAAACTGAATTGATCAAGTGCAGGCCGGCAAGAGCAGGCAAATTATCCATCTAATGAAAAATGCCAGTAGAAATAATTTTGCTCTTAAAGTTGTGTGTCAGTTAAGGCCTAACTTTTAACAAAAAGTGCAGACAAACAATAGATTTTCTCATAGGCCCAGTGTAATGGAACTATAAGGAAGTGCGTTTCAAATTGAGAGCAGAAGGCACTTTTTTACCCAAAGGGTTGTGTGAGTCTGGAACAAGCTATCCAGACAAACTGTTGAAACAAATACCCAGAGTTCCTTTAAGTAAAGCCTGGAAGAGATCCTTAAATCAGCTGGCTACTATTAACTGAATGAGCTTCACGGGTCAAATGACTTCCTCTCATTTGTAACTGTTCCTTTGTTCTGAAAGCTATAACCTAAAAACCGTAATGGTCAGCATAACCTTCACTCGTTTACTTCAGTGCTTACTCACTTAAGTTTTCGACAAACATGACCCAGATTGTTTAAAAGAGGCTCCCATTTATCAACATTCACCTGAAAAACACAGCATAAGAAAATTATGGCAGTGTTAAGCAAAGTTTACAGCAAAGAGAGAATAAGAATAAGCACACATAACAATGCAGACGTCTTCACATTAACCTTATAATTGCATGCATTTTATTAATTTACTGTCTGAAAGACACAAACATCTTTAAGACTGGCACTAAGACTGTAGAATTAGTAAAAGGATCACTCTTTACTAAAGGCATAGAATAAAAAAAAAAATCACAAGACATCAAGAACAGTGTGCAGATGTTTACCTTTCTAAATGACATAGTATTTGGGGAGGTAAGATGTCAGTCTTGTTTGGCACCAAAAGGCTCCCTAAAGAGCTTGTACTACTTAACCTTGTTCAGAAAGCAGACATTAAAAATGACTTTAAAAAGTACATAGGTTGGAACAACTAATAGAAAGGTATACTTTAGCCATTCTGGAATAAAAGGGTATAATTAAAAAAAAAATTTCAATTAAACCTCACTCGATCAAGACCTGTTACTGATGATGCTTTATTCAAAAATTAGGATCACTGTGATACTTTTGCAGTGTTGCAAACCACCTCTGTTCACGACTAAAAAAAGCTGACTTCCAAATCCTACACCTTGTCAGACCAACTAACCACAAATGTGTGACTCATGGTCTGTTGTGAAATCCAAGACGACAACACAGATATAAGGGCTTTTTCAGACCTTACTTAGAGCAATGAGCTTGGACGAGGGAAAGGAACTTGATTTGATCCTACAGGGAAACCTGTGTGACACTGTATCGCACACTGAAGTAAAGCTACGAGGATTTCAAAGTCCCCAAGAACACATAACAAGAAAATGACATTGATCCAGCAAATTAACAAAATGGACAATTCAACTATTGCAGGTTTAGAATCTTGAGAGAGATTAAGAATAAAACTACAGTTTACTGGCACAGAAACCAAAAAAGAAAACAATGCCTAAAGTTCCTTACAGAATGATTCAATAAGATGATGGTGAGAAAACATTTACACAAGTACCTCACTTCCGATGGCTTTTATTTTCTCCAATGCATCAAGAAACATTTTCTCCGCCATCTTCCAGCTGAAAAGTCACACAATATTTATCAGAAAAAGTGTATAAAGTTTTTGACAGGTTGGGAAATGCACTCTTGCTTTGCAAAATAGTAAAAATTAGATTCATTTACAAAAGAAAAATAAACAGGAGACCTGGTAACTTCTGCGGGTACACCAGTATAACCTAGTGCTCAGACATTACACGATATTTAAGTGCTTACAGCAACACATAACCTTACATGAAATCCCCTGAACACCGTCACCTTGGCATTTAAGAAGACGCTACAGAAAACTATTTATATGTTTTATTATTACATTTTACTGTATTTTACATATTTGTATGGCGTAATATAATACACAGTATAAACTCTCTCAGTCTAAGAGAAAAGTCTTAATATCATTTATAACATTCAAATGTTACCCCATGCTGTTAAATAAAAGATACTACATAGCTAAAAGATTTTCTTACTCTCCATTCTGAAAGGCCACCACGCCCACTTCATGCATCACAAACGGATCCTCTGGAGCGATACTTAGGGCCTGGCTGAAGAATTTCTCAGCCAGCTTGGAATTGTTCGTCAAAACATATTCCAGGCCAATGTACAGCATCGGAAGGTGGCACCTGGAAATGACATTGAAAGTACAGAGATACAGTTTTTACTAAGATGACATATGAACTGTACAGACGTTTCAATAGCAGTATCCTGACTATCAGCGTTCTGAAAACATAACGTCCGATTTTACTTTTATATTCAGGTTATTGCTGGAATACTGATTCACATGGACACTATACTGGAACTAGCGGTTTTCACAATGCAAGTGAATATCTTATTAATGAATATATTTGCAAATGGAAAGCCACTAGCATCAAAGCTAGGATGCAGTAAAGCTATCAGAAACTGTACTTTCATGGTTGAAATGAAGAAGTACAAGAAGCATTAGTACTTGCTCATGGTGAGCAGGTAGTGCACTGACTTCAAATTCAGTTTAAACATAGAACAACTCTTAGGCAAAAATGTAACCATTTTCAACCACAGAATGGCCTGCTTCTATATTATTGCATGTGGAGGAAATAAAATTCTCTTAGTCAGGTTCAGAGAAAGGCGCAGTGAGTTTATTCTGTATGCATACAGGAATAGCTCAGCCACACAAGCAACAGGCAATTCAAAGTAACAGCTGGAAAGTTTCTCATTTATATAGACAAGCAGTTACAAAAACAAGCACAAAAAGGAATGGCTAACATATTTGTGCAGTAAAGTGTAAAGCAAAGATATCACAGGACAAAGACAGCTTATTTAATACTCCAGACATCCACTCACTACTAGTCCTTGACGGTTATTTTTAAATCCGGCGCAATTTCAGTGCCACATAACCTTATCTATTGTTTCTGTTACTTCTCAGGCAGTTTTTCTGTCTTTACAGCTAAGAGCTACCATGTGCTCTTAACCCTTTCCTTCACATGTAATGCGTGAAGTAGTGTAAATAAAAAATAAAGTACAGTCCCATGCAGAGTTTTTACTTTTTCTTGCTTTAAAGCTTGTAGTCGTGGCACTTTCAAGCAGCAATATTTGTTATATAAACAGTCTACTCCACACATTCAAAGCAAACGACAAAAAAATATGTAAATGGTTAATATGAAAACTGGAAAAGTCATGATTTCACACATGATGACAACAGTTTGTAGAGACATTGGCTGTTATTGCTGTCAATGTTGCTTCCACTCAAAGATCACCAGTGGGAAGACTTATACCGGATTAACATATTTCACATATTTCTCTTTAATTATTAGTGATATTTATTGTAACTTATCTTACCCTTACAAGTTGTGAAGTTTGAGCATTCAGGTTTTCTGAAAATGTGTGTGCAACATTTTGTAATTTCACATTATTTTATCATCCTAAATAATATCCAGGTGAAGCTCCTATCATATAATACACCTATATTTTTAGAAAAGAAAATTCCAAAGTTGGTATTTTTAAGTCATAAGCACAGAAAGCTGTTTATTTGTTGATACAAAAAAAATGTTGGTACTGGGGACCATCTGATTTAGCATGTTTTTTATGAGTAAAAGTACAAAGTGCATATTGTTTTATGCACTCATTTTTTCAAGATCAGAAAAAAGAAGTAGGAAATCAGATCTGTATATGGTATTCAGATTCTACATACTCAAATGCCTACACTATACCGAAACAAGCAAACAACAAAAATTCCTGATTCTATCACCCACAATGTTCCATGTTTATCTCCAGGTTTAAAATCCCAGCCTATTCAAACATTGTTCCCAGCTAGCAAATCTGGTTAGAAATCTGCAAAACCCTCATTCTTAGCAAAGGTCACACATGAAAGTACATTCACAGAAAACAAAAATCCTGGCATCTGTGATGCAAATAAACTACATTTTTCTTTAAGACTCTTGTATTGGACAACAAGCCCAATGACATACAATTCAGATCAGTAGGGAATAGAAAGAGATCAGATCATTCACCAGCAGTGCACAAATCGCCAGAAAATGAGTCTTAAAAATGCCTGTTGCAGTTGAAACAAAACATTCTAGGCGAGACTGGCCTATATGCTATCACAGCATGCAGCAATGAGAGTCTAAACAGGCAGTGAATTATATCACAAGACATAGACAACACTTGAAAATGTGAATGCAGAAACAGACCTTATTGCTGGCATTGGCACTTGGCATTGGATTCAAGCCTTGTGGTCTGAAGAATGACCACTGGGCTGTATGGACAAGGCAGTAGGAACCTCCTCCCAACCAAGAGGTTGCTGTTTGGCAGTGAAGTTTGGGATGGTGGAGGACTTTTGCACAATGAATGTTGGAACATAATGCCCATATTTATACCCTAGATATCATGCTTGGCAGCAGATGGGTCTTGTCCTCCACCCAAATGTTTACCATGAATCGAACTATTTGCACAGCAAGTTGACAGCTACTTTTCGACTGTGTGCTGACGTACCCTTTCATGAGTTTGGAAGCTGTAAAGTAGGCAGCCATAGCCTGGTCATGTTCACTCTCCACGGCAAAGGAATGCCCGAAAGCAATCCACGCAGGACCAAAATTTCTCTCCAAGGCAAGGGCTTTACTGAAAGGAGAAACCACAGTTACTCAACGTTTGGTTAGGACGTTTACCAAAAAGTTATCTTCTTCTTTGCTTTGTGTTTTTCTAATTAATGGGGAATAGCAGATGGTAACACATGAGATGTGTCCAACGCAAGCAAAAATTGAAACTTTTAATTAAAATGAAGGAAATACTTCTTCTTTTCATTAACGTTCCTTCCTTCATTAACCTTTTTAAAACCTCCTATTGTGAGCTCTGTACTTACCTAAGGTATCTTCTTGCGTGTTCATTTTTGTGGCCAACCATGAGGTAATAGCATCCTACAGCAAACCATGATACCTGAGGAAATGCAGAAATGCACAAAACCTATCTCAGAAAAGAGCAAATGTAATACACGTTAAATGCTTCCAAATGCAGAGTATACATATTACACCACAGACTGCAGCAAATTAATGAAACTTTCAAGATACTGGTAATTCCTGAGTGCCTAACTGGAGATTGTAATTACCTAAATTACTCTCAGAGAGAGTGGGATGTAGGACTGTAAATAATTCTAAAGAGATAGGCTAAAGTTTAATTTTGCACCAACTTTAAGTTTCACCCACCCTCATATCCATTTACACATTAGCAATTAGGAGACTATATCAATCTGACAGATTTCTTATTCAAAATAAAATGAGTTAAACCAACCATTGTAAACATAATTTGCACTAATTAACACTTAAGACAACATCTTTTAAAACCTTTCTCTCAACAACACTGTGTTGCATACATACTATATGTTCTCATTCTCAATATATGTTCTCAAGTCCTTGGCTCCACCACTAGGGCAGGGGTATATAAAACTTTGACATTTCCATTACATGACTTTTAAGCTACCAAAAAATGAATTGACTCTGGTCCTGAAAAACACTATTTTTTATTATCAAAGATGCAGCGAAGTCTTGCTATGTGATGCCAAGTTAAGGTGCCAATATTGACTAGCCTCAAACTTGGAGTTATTAAAATAATGCTTTAAAAAAAACATTTAAGCACTAACTACAATTTAAGAACTTTAGTTTGGCAGAACATGTTCAATTTCTTTGTCCTGTAAGGTAATTTTTGTTCTTTGTAAAATTAACATTAGCAATAACATTTCTGGACCTTTTTCCATTGCATTTTTCCCCCCCGTTATGGAATCCTACAAGTGTGAAAATCTATATGCAAAGTTTATTAACAAAAAACCTTGATCCTAATCAATTAATCAAATAAATGTACTTACTGTACCATTCGGGTACAAATCCACCAATCTATGTGCGAGGTAAAAAAGCTCTGTTAATAAAAAAAAAAGTTTTCATTTAATTTTTTATTTAAATCAAAGCTTTTTAAGCCAAACCACAGCAACAGATAACTACTTTTCATATACAGTAAAGGTAAATCTGCAATCAATATCAAAGAAATGCTTTAACAACAGGACACAGGCAGAGAAAACTAAGTAGGTCCTCAGTTTACCATTTGATTTGCTGAGCTCCACCAGCGTTCCTATGTGTAACGGGAGACAGTTGGCATGGAATGGGTCTTTGACCATCACCCTTGAGGAACAGATAGAAACTTATCAATTTACACAATCCAAATAAAAATAATTTTGGTCTCCTCTTTTAAGATGATCTTTTCCTTATGCTCCACTCCAATAGTGGTACCTGATTTTGAGGTCTTATTTTCTCTGTCTGAAAGCAGTTCTGTCCTACAGTGTATTTACCCTGAACTATGATTCGTATAGAAAAAACAGAAAACTTTTAAATGGTCTAGTTAGGACTGGATGTAATTTTAATCACGCATTAAGTCTAATATAACCCACAACATAAAATAAAAACCTTAAAAAGAAAACATTTTCTACATATTTGGATAAAGACAAATAACTAATTCCATGTCAGCTCAGCCTTTTGCACTTACATTTATCTAATATGAATTATTAAGAAAAAGTAATTATGAATTAAGTACACTTAGGCTTGATGACACTTCACGATCTCATGACCATTCATAAACAGTGAAAAATTAACATTTGAAACAGAAAGCTAAAATTATACTTACATTGATGTGAGTTTGTAGCATGTATTAAAATCACAGTTATAATAATGTCTCTCTGCTAAACACACAACCACATCCAAGTTGTCTTGAAGGACATTTACTGTGCCAGGGATAACCAGCTCACTGGGTTTGTTATACTGGAGAAAGAGGGTGAGTGTTTATTTCAGAAAGCAATCTAACATCATCTTAAGACATTAGCATAAAGAATTAAACTAACAAAAAACTGAAGTAAACAGGATTCATTACAACCACTTGTGTATAATTCATTAACAATATGTCATTGTGCTACCAAGGGTATATACATAATAAGCACAATAATTCATAAATGGAAATGGTTTTGAAACATTTTTTTTTGTAAAATCCTGTGGGAATCAAAAGCTGCTAGAAGCTAACTAAAATCAAAATATTTAATAAATAATATGATTTGAAGCTAAGAAAGAACTATGTTTTTTACAGGTACCCTAGGAGGGTAAGTCAAAGGAATAAGCCAAAGGAAACCTGGCAGAACATGGCTTTTGATCAAAGGCTAACTGATTTCAGTTTGTTACCCGAAAAAAATATTCAGGTCTTAAAAGGTCAAATAGAATTTGGCTGTTACCAATCATGTACCAATTTCTGAATTTCAGAAATGCCCTCATTCAGATGTGTGGCCTGAAATGTAACCAACTGGACCTCTGCTGAAGATGCTTGTCCTCGGCATGTCTGATATTGTGTCACTCCCACATGCGGGAGAGTCTGATGCAGTGCCACTCTCACGTGTGTCTGTTTATCATGAATTCATAAACTAGCACCAGGTGTTCAGTAAGAGATAGTGGCCAGCAATTTGAGGACAGGCTACATGCAGTTGTGTTCTTGAGCTAGAAACAGTACGCTTGAAGTTGGGCATTTCTGACACTCAGAAACTGACTAACGAAACAAGCTAAATAAAAGTCTATAAACAGGGAAGCAGATCAAATAGCACTAGAGAACTGTAGCTCAGCTGGAATGAAAACCAGCAGATGGTCTTCCTTCAGCAACAGATGTGGAAATCACTTCTCTAAACAATTTTACTGTAGCTGTAACTCAATAAAGCTCACTTGCAGCGCAGAGTCTCAGGCTTTATAGAAAACCACCATCATTTTCAGGGTTGCTCTATAGAGTTCAAGGCAAGGAAGCTGTGCCAGATCAAGGGATAGGGTTAGCCTTATACTGTATACAAAGCATTTCTGTTTTCATAGCCCTCAGTCCATCGTGTGCGGAATTTAGGTGAACAGCAAGTAAAGAATGATTCATAGCATAGCATGTCCTGAAACAAAACATCAGTGGCATCAAGCTGCTTCGGCAATGGTGTAAAATGGTGTAAAATGTAAAAAATATTAAATGAAATCTGAAATGTTCCTCTTTTCTTGCGCACACTAAACGTGCTCAGCCTGATGAAACTTACTTTCCCTGTATATTTATTGTTAAGCTGTGCCTTTCACCCACCTTTTTCAATTTACTTTCAAACAGAAAACGCAGCAGTTCCTCCTCTTCTTTTGTGCATTGCTCACTTAGTGGAAGGGAATCCAGAAACTCTTTTTCTGAAGTGAAACACATTAAGCTCTTATGCAGTAGGGTATGCAGAAAACACAAATAAAATGACTGAACACATCAGCAATATACAAAAGCACAAAACTGTTTCGTAAGCTGTGCTTTTAAATATTACTAATTTGTGGAACTACCTGTACCTGATTAAACAATGTAAAAGTATATATTAGAATTTCAGTACATTATTTAATTCATATAAATACATTAATGATTTCATCCGCATTCAGCATATAAAGGGAAGGAGAAATCCCAGAAAATGTTTTTTTTCCCCTCTCTGTTATGTTGTTTGGTTCAATTTAATTTATTTTAAAAGGTTATTCAGAAAGCCTTACCTTCTTGAGCAGTCAGCATGTGGTGGGCTGTTAAAAGGTCAAAGGCTTCAAAGCAGTAGACGTCTAGCTTCAAGGCCTCTTTGTAGCTGGATGTCGCCTGTGGTCTCTTTCCCATAGCATCATAGATCTTCCCCCGCAAAAGGCAGATAGAGCTCTTGATCTAGATTGGATTGTCACAGGGAAGTAATACAACATCTATCAGTATTCGATCAGCAGAACACTAAACAGTACATTCTTGCATTTCAAAAAAGCTGTAGTGTCCAAACAGAACAGCAAATACTAAGACATTAAAGAATCTAGAGGTCAAGAAATGACATGAATAACATGCAAATCCTTTTGGCACACTAAAATGACTATATCCTTGAGTTTGTATGACCTGAAAATTAAACCATATATAGGGCACCTGAGATATGTACGTATCTATGTTGTCACCATTAGCCATTTATTTCACTGCGGGGAATAAAAACAGTGCTTTGCTTCACACAGTTCCATAGAGTAGGGTGAACCATGTCAAAATAATTGGTATATTATAATCTCTCATATAACTGGCCAATAATCGTATCTCAGGATAACTGGAATATTATCGTATCTCAAATATACTTCACATTACAGAAACAGTGAGTTTTTTGTCAGAAGTTATCTTCTATTGCTCTAAGGTAGTGTAAGAAAAACAGCTTTTTAGTGTAAGCCCTATATGAATAACTTATGTTTGTTCCTCCAATAGAACATTACCATTCACGAAATTAGGTATGAATACTTAAAAGAAAAAATAAACTAAATACACAGAACATGGGAATAAAGGTTGTAATTTAGGTCACCAACAAGCATCTTGATAGAGGTTAGGACATTGAGAAATATGTTCTTAATGATTCTGGGAAGGTTTCGGCAGGTGTCTGATAAATTCCTAACACACAGCTGTTTAATTCTCTACAGCAGCAGGTGAAACTCATTTATCCTACATTAGCACTTCAGAGCGATGGGTTCATTTCTAAGCTTGGGTGTCAAACCAGAGAAAGCACATCTCAAATCCACTTTCTATCCAACCTGAAAAACAACTGAATTAAACAAAATGCATATAGGATTTGGTTTTGGCACAATGGAAAAATGTTACTATTTAGCTTGAACATACCTGTTACCCCTGGTCTAATACCTAACAATACTATCAAAGTTGATTTCTGTATTCTGTATTAGATGTGCTTCTGCTCAGGAAGCCTGTGGGAAGCCAGACACACTTACTGAAGAGGTAGGCATGCCCCAGTCCTTGGCTGACTCTTTGATGCCTTTGTCCTTCTTTGCACTCTTTCCCAACAGCTTCTTGCTAGGGGGCTCTTTCATGTCAAGGATATCAAGAGCCTGCTGGTACTCCGCAGCAGCATACTTTAACGAAAAGAGCAACAGAACTTGAAGGGATAAAATCTTCAAATCTCAAACAGGCACCAGTGGCTTTTCAAAAGTCAGCATCACCAGATGTTCAACACACACACAGAAACACACAAATGCCTGCACAGCACACACAAAAAAGTGGATTTCTTCCCAAGGATGCCATGATATTTTTTTTATTACTAGTACAGCATCATGACATAAACAGAAACCATGGGGAAGTACTTGAAACGGTAACAGGAAACACTTCTTCACATAAAGGACAATGGGAATCTTGAACACAACCCAGATATGACATCAAACCCAATAACATCACTGCTGTAAAGAAGCAGCTGGATGAAATCCTCAGATCAATTGGCTATTAGCTACCAGTTACGGGCTGAATGGCCTCCTCTTGCTTGAAAGCTCTGTGCTCTTAGGTTTTCCAGGGAAAGTCTGCTTTACCTGGGCCCTTTCTGGTGTTTGTTCTTCTATGCCAATGTACAGGCAATACAAACAGAACTGTTATCTTTCATTTTTTGACAAAGGTGGTTATTGCATTTTGGCTAATTAAGCATTTTGTGAGTGCATGTAGAAGTATACCATTTTTTACTCTTGTAATTGTACACATGAAAACACAAGGCTAACTTTAATAACCCAAACAATAGAGACACCTACTGTTCAAACATGTTTACTGCAGTGCACTCCTGGGAAAATTATACTAACCACAAAATAACGTGACTTAAAAGCATCTAGGCAATTTAGATGAACCTAAAGAACTGCAATAATAGGGTAACATCAAATTTAAGGACTGATTTATTTTATTCTAGTTTTTACAATGATATAGAACATCATATAAGCATGGTAACTAAGTTTTGTTTTTCAAAACATTTTAAAAATGCTGTCATTAAAGGGGAAATGCATCTCTATTTTTTACATTGAGGAGTTATAATGAATTGGCAATGATTAGTACATTTCAAAGGAAGGAAATGCACAAGGAAACTACTAAGTACACAGGTAACATGTAAAACCTGAAATTTAGATCACAAAAGTTTCAAAGAATGCGTGGTGCCATATTGCCGTCAGTATCTGTGTTCAGAACAAGGCAACAAAACTTCCAGTGACGTGAAAGCAACCCTATTACACTGTAAACATGCCGTGGCCAGGCAAATGTTGCTACTATATTATTAGTAAATATTTTCATAGAACTGCCACAAACAAAACAACATTTTTAGAAAGTAACCAACCAACTAAAATACACTCATAATAATTAACATTGTTAGGAGACCATGTTTCTTGTTCGCGTACAGTGACTAGTGAACAGGAAGGGCTGCTTTCACGTCATAATTTGCGCAAACTCACACACTTGCCTGTTTCTCATCTGCCTGCGAGATGTCATGCATAAGGTACTTCCACAAAAATCAGAACTTTACACTTCATTTGAAATTTGTTAAACTTTGTGATGCCGTCAATTAATTCATTTTGTTACAGAGATTTAATAAGTGGTCTGAGAAATTGGGACTGTGGTTCCCCGTGTCAACTCAAGGCAGGGTACTAGTTTGTCAGAATACTCACGTGACATTTAGCAGCAAGGCACTGGCAAGCTCTGTACAGCTGCAAAATGAAAATAATTTAGTGTTTACCACATCTGATGAGCAGAATACGAAAGCACACAAAAAATCTGACATTCTGAAAATGATTTATTGATGTGCAAATCTTAATTTAGTATGGGACTGTGCAACAAACTATTTAAACATTTTCCCAGATCTTTGACAATATATATTCAGGGAAACACAAAACAGATCTGCTTGGTGTCATACACATAGCACAGTCTAACACACCACGACCTGTCATTTCCATACTGCAGGAGGTCCTGTGCTTGTCTCAACTTCCCAAATTGATATGATATTACTGTAAAGTAAAGTTGAGTACTAGACAGTTGCAAGCTGTAAGCTCAATTGCAACAAGATAACCTGTGAAACAAAGCTGGAGATGAGCTGATCCCCTTGTTATATGGGTTAAGTTATTGTTCAACCAACAGCTGTTGGATGCTGTTTGAATTTGATCATGTGGAGAATCACAGTGGCTTGAATTTTCATTGATAAATGATAAAGAGAAACTGAGACACAGTAAGTGGTCATTTGATTTTTATGATGGGCTTAGTCTACATTTATGAGTGCGAACTGTTATAAAGGTCAACCTCACACACATTTGTGGGCTACAATTGCTGAACATTATCTAAAGAGTGATTTCGAATTTATGTCTGTGGATCCTGACTGTTCAGAGCAGGTGAATCTCTGCAGTTGACCCTTATTTTCTGAAGATTATGCTATTGGAGCCTCGAATGAGATGGGATGTTCCTTTACTTACAACTTACAATGAACTACATAAGATAACACACTGTACCCACTCTAGCCCTCTTCCTCAATATCCCTGCTGCTCTCTTAGAACCACCAACGGTCTCAAGTGCACTCAGACTGAACACACTTATTAAGAGGCACGTCTCATTTTGTTATATGCATTTACCTAAATTTCGGTTCACTTCCCTCTCCAAAATATTTATCTTAATATACATCTCAGAATTCACTATAGTGTACAGCAGGCTCTACATTTATGAGTAGGTATAATTCGACGACACCTGTCCTTATGATTAGAATGTGAAGTAGGTCTATTGTATTGTGTATGAAATCCAATTTTAGTTGACTATCGCAATACAAATTTGCAGCTAGGATGCTTAAAATCATTACATATTAACAATAGCATTTCAGTTAAAAGCTGTGACTGCATTTGGAACTTTTCAGTGTTGAGCAGGAGTTGCACTTCGTCCTGCGCTTCAGTGTCCTCTAGAGGGCAGCAGCAATTACTTTTAATTAATTGCAATTGAGAACAAGTTTGTTGCAATTGGTATGAACCTACAGTAGTGTATGGAGCTGCATACTAATCATGGGATCATCCCTTTAGTACAATGCTCTTCTTACACTGCAGTTGACCTACTATGAACTGTACATAGATATAAAACAAAAACTTTATAACCACTTTTTAACTTTAGGTGTTTAAAAACTTCACATATACTACAAGAAGCACAGGCAGATAGTGGCCTATTTACACTGAAACATCTCTACCACCCCCCAATACTCAGTACAGCTTGTTCACATTGGTCTCCAATATGCACAAAAGCATAAATGGCCAAATGAAAGAAACCAAACTGACCACTGGAGGTTGGCAAAAGGACTGGTTTGGCTTGATTTATACATGTAAAGATAAATAAAACAAGGCACTTGTATGACGAGCATTTCAGAAAAAATAATAAAACTCATTAAACACAAGTGTTTACTATTCTTTCTTATAGCCACTGAAAGAGAAAGGGTTCTGAGAAGCTGATCAATGGAAGGTAAAAATAAGAGGCAGCAACAAATGAATTTAAAAATTCTTGCCAAGTAAAACGAATTGATCAATGTATCTAAGAAACATGACGAGTTTAAAAGCAAGTGGGTTCAAATTGGTTCTTGCAGTGTGAACACAAACGAACCAAATCCAATTTAACAGAGAACAATGCAATTCAGAACAATGCAATTTTTTAAGTGGAAAGAGCCAGGGTACGGACACGTTTTAAACCAAACCAAATCCATTTGAAGTAAACCCAGTGTGAAAGAATCCTAGGATGCACAATCGAAATTCCAGCATGACATCAAAACTACAGTATTTTGCTTGAAACTACACTGAACATGCTTTATGGGCAGAGCGGAGGATCTGTGGCTAAGGATCTGCTCCTGTGGCTGGAAGGTTGCCGGTTCAAAACCTGCAGCCGGCAGAGGAATCCTACTCCCTTGGGCTCCTGAGCAAGGCCCTTAACCCCAACTGCTCCAGGGGCGCCGTACAATGGCAGACCCTGCGCTCTGACCCCAAGCTTCTCTCCCTGTCTGTGTCTCATGGAGAGCAAGCTGGGGTATGCGAAAAGACAATTCCTAATGCAAGAAATTGTAAAGGGTTAATAAAGTGATGTTATTATTATTAGTAATACTACATTAATACTGTAATGTTAGTATTCAGTATGAGAAAAGTCCTTACCTTATCTAGTTTTCGTGATCGGAGAGCATGCGAGGCCCTGTGATATTGTGATGTGAGGTAAAGGCACTGTGCTAGCCAATACACGTCCTGTGGGTCCTCTAAAAATAAAGATAATGTTTAGTTAAAGCTTAGTCACTCTTGGAGCATTTGTACTAGACTACTATTCTACCGTCAGCATTACATTTTGAAACAGAGAACTAGCAAAAAACAAACTAAAGGTTACCAGACACCTTCTGTATAATAAGAAGATACTGTTAAAAAGTTTCCTTTCTGCATTTTTATCTTTGTTCTGAAAGTAATTTCAGAAAACTTTTGGAAATGTTCAGAACAGACAACAAGGTCATGAAATGAAAACAATGCTATCCCGGGCAAAACCAGAGCCATAGTGCTTACAAGGTTATGTCAATAAATTCACTGAAGAAGTTATTAAAATGGATCTATCTGTCCCCCCCCTTTCCAGCGTAGTCCCTTGGGCAATTTTATATGAACGCAAATGGGTCACTTTCCCTTGAGCTCTCTGTCAGTGAAATAACATTTTGAGGTTACTTCCCTAGGGGAAATAACCATGAGCGTGAGCCTTCAGATTTCAAAACCAACATGGTTTTTTTGTCAATGCAAGATCCCAATATCAGTGACAGTTAGTTCAGTTTAATGCCTGAACATTTTTGGGTGCTGTCCCTCAGATGCCTCGCTTTTCCGCTCGTAGCGTGTCAACAATGGAGACTGGATCATGTTTGTGCCATCATATCAAAGCAAAATGCTGTGTGGCTTCTTCTCATAAGTAAAGAAATGAAGAAGAGGCTCCCAAGTGGCTCAACCAGAAAAGCAATCCACTGAGAACAGGCTGAGTTCTCTGATGGTGGGTTCAAGCCAGAGTCACATCATTAGTTGACTGTGGCTAAAGAACAGCTGTTCAAAGGTGGACAGGTGGGTCAGAAGAGTATACCTATACTTCCTCATTCCCCTGTGTGTGCTTGTGGGGTGAGTGGCTGCAAGCCAAGACATGAAAAACACACAACCAGCTACTGCAAAGTGGGGATTGGTAAAACGACAATAATTAGCAAATAAAATCTTTTTAATAAAGTACAGAATCTACTATTTTTATTGGTACCAAAAACCTAAATCTAAAGCATCCAGATCAGGATTGTCAGTAACAATTTTCTGAAGCCACGGATTTGAGTCCTTCCTTTGGTACTGAAGTTGGGAACTAAGGTTTAGGGACTTGCAGAAACATCAAATGCGTGCAGATTACTGTGCAAACACTTTAAATCTGCCAGCCTCTGCAACTAATTACCTTTCAAATAAGCTACAAACACAATTACACAAATGAATTTAAATACTCGTTACTGAGCCACTCTTGTACATTTTACAAAAAACAAAAGAATGAATAAATTTAGGTGCTGTCTAATAATTTCAGAGAAGGGTATCCTGCGTTTTCCCAGTCCTGCTCCTGAAGTAACTAGAAGACTAAGGGTTTCCATTCTAACACAGTATTACTCCAGGATCAGGTCTGGGAAACACTGCTATAGAATATACACTGCTGCACACTCATACCACAGTATGCTACAGCCTAGCAATAATCATGTAGCTGATGCACGTAAAGTGAACAATTCTCATTACTTTTACTTGTACCACATACATAAATTAAAACAAGCAGAAGTAGGATATCCATCCTTACCGTGTGACAGTGATGCGATTTTGTCTGCCCAAAACAGGGCACTTTGATACTGTTGCTGCAAAAAGAAGACAAAATAAATGATTGATCCAAGTCCCAAAATAACAGGAATGTATGTGCACAAATGTGCATTATGTTCAGGAGCAAGTTTAGGTCTGAAGTTTTCATTTCCATCCATTCATCATCAGAAAGCTGGTTTTTCCTGGTTAGGGTTGTTGTAGCCGGAAGCACAGGGCGCAACAGCACCTGGGTTTGGTAAACATCCATCACAAGCCCTTACATACAGCAGAAAACAGGAACACTTCAGAGAAACAAGCTGACCTGGTCAGCAAGTCTTTGGAAAATTTGACGACATGCATCCAGAAATGTTGGGGAGAACACACAGACTCTGCACAAGAGGAGCCCTAGTCTGGAATCAAACCCAGGCCTCACCAACTGTGAGGCAGTTGCGCTATTTGCTGTATTACCATATCACCCAAGGTCTGAAAATTAAAGCTCTGTTCTTTCCAAGCATAATTTCCTCCAGCTAACAGTGTCCAGCTGACAAATCATTAGTCTTAAAATATAAAACAACATTTGATTTATCTTTTTTGAGTTCTACCCTTTTAATATTCCACTAAGAGTTTTTTCTTTCTGAAAATGTAATACAATGTTAACAAACCTCTTGACTTAGCTCTTAAAAGAAAACTTCGTCGACTTATCACTTTCCTGTCAGTCGATACAACTATAATGTTTGCTTCTTAGCTTACACAAGACATTTATATCTATGTCGTTTTCAAACTTTTAATATTGCTAATTAAATGTTCCTAATTAAAGAGTCCTTCACCTACATCAACGTCTACCTATGCACATGTGAGCATAAACGGGCAACAATATGCAAATTCCTCCTCACCTTAATACTACTGAACAGCACAATACTACCACCATCTCGGCACTTATTTCCTAATAAAAAGGCCGACACAACTTTTCAGACAATCAATCCTTATTGATGATTATAATACAAACTTTATATGATTATGCTTTCACTTTAGGATTGAAAATACAGCAACCCGGCGAGGCCTATTTAATTATAATATGGTGCACTAATTGCGAGTGTTGCTGCAGCTGGTTCTGTTGAAAACAAACTGCTATTTTACGAAGAAAAGGTTTAATTAATAGGGCGATTTAAGCCTTGGTACTTAGCTGCTGGAAAGGTATATGCAACATTGTAAAACTAAACGAAAATCCTCCTCAAATATAAAAGTCTTTACCTCATCGATATAATGACGAACACGCTTCCGCAGTCTGTCCAGATTCATGATGATTCTCGTGATTATTGCTTTATCATTCAGAATCTTGTCATGCTAAATCTAACAAAAATAAACTAATTATTGGAAATGCTTTCACCGCCTCAATTTTTACCACTCGATCCCGCGACTTCTGTAGTAGCGGTGGTGTCACGATAAAAACAGTCCACCGGGAAACAGAGGGGATCAACAAAAGGGCCCGCTAAGCATTGAAACAGATTGCAATCATAAATGCATAGCCGCTTACATTTCGTACAATTCGTTGTAATTAATAATATGGTCATATTTACACTACGTTTCATCCCAAAGGATACCAAAAAGGATTCACATAAAGAAGGAACAAATACTTTATTGACCCACTGTATTCAGCACCCAGCAGGGCAATTGCGTGTCAGCAGTTCCACTACATACCGTATCACATCAGATGAAGCAAGGAACTGCTTCACCAACTTTATAAAGACGAAACTTTATGTAGGCCATAATATACCAGCCAAAAATAGCCAGGACACTAGGGTTAACACACCTACTCATGAAAACAGTGACATGGGAATTTTATCAGCCAAGAAGTCTGGGCTTCAGTTTAATGATTCGTCTAAAAAACATCTTCTCCTACAACACAGTGCCGAAATGTACCACTTTGGGGAAAATGCAATCCTGAAGGAAGTGTGTCTAACAACAGCCCTTGTAACAGATGGTTTTCCTTGGAGGCCTCCAGCCTTGACCAGCCTCTGAGATCTAACAAGATGAGGCTACAGGATAGTAACATATTGAAAAGACTGATAAAGTAAGTAGTGTTTTTTTTCAAAGACACATACTGTACATAACCAATTTTCTTGAGATTTATTAATTCAGAGCACCTGTTTTAAAAGACAAATTAGAGAATATAGTGATTTAATAACATAACTGGAGTTTTTAAATTACAGTGGTAATTTAGTATGATGTCCATCATTTCAAAGATCTCCATAGCCAGTTTGTGTTCAATTCACTTTTATCTTTTATTGTTAAAAGTATATACTACCTTTTCTTTTGTATGTCCTAATATAACAGCCAAAAAACATTTTCTGAGTGTCTCCCATTACATATGCATCTTAAAAAGATAAAATTCACAACTATTTTCTTCAAGTTAAATCTGGTACAAGAAAAAGCTGCAGAAAAACATTAAATCACCTCACAAGTGCCAGATCCAATGCTTTGCTGATATTTTACTACTGTCCACACAAGCTGCTAGGGATCATGGGCCAGACCAATGAGAACCTGGTATGTTAAACTGCAAAACAACAGTAAGGAAACCCCGATAATCTGTGCCTATAATAAACTGCAATAGGTCAGGCTTTGTGTAACTGTACACTGCCTCCTTTATCCTTTTAGCCTTTATTATCTGTGCCAACTGGGTAAAAGACAAGAATACTAGTCTACAGCACTCAGCCCCTGGTGTTGGCTTGCCTGGCCTTTTTCCTTGACCTACAGTACCCCCCATCTGCACATGCTCACTTTCTTTAGCCTCTTCTCCTATTAAAGGGGGAGGAGGTAGACATTTTACTTTACTCCGTGGGGTGTCAGTAAATGCAATGCTGTTTCAGTTACGAGCATGTGGCAGTGACCCCACTATGAGCTTGCAACCTGTTATTCCGGCTGCTTCCTTCTCCCCTCGCGTACATACTTTAAGGGAAACCGCTACAATACAATGCAATAGCAAAAAGACAATTAGTCATGAAATGCAAGTGAAAACATAAATTAACATAATTCTACTAAACCAAAATGAAACAACAACAACAACAACAACAACAACAACAAAAACGTCTGCACAGCCGTACTGTACAATCTCTCAAAACAATCGTCAGTAAGCAGCCTCTTTTCCTCCCAGGGTGGTACACACACCCTCCACCCACGCCACCGCCAGTCTCCCTGGACAGCACTCCCAAAACTATCCTTAACCTCTTCCGTACTGTTAGCGTCTTCTCTTATCCCAGTTATCGCGAAACAACTCTTCCATTATTCACAAAGCTCTACAGGAAATACCTTCCACCTTTCCTGGTTTTTGGCAACGAAATAAATTGTCAGAGAGGGGGGAGGGGGGACTTTTCCATTATTTACTTTAGGCGTGTGAGTATTGAGGTGCTCACGGGAGAAAGACAGGTTTAACCAATTTGGGGACTGTTCAAAAGAACAAAAGGAAAAACACGCACCAAAACCCAGCAAAAGCGCAAACTACATCAGTGTATGACTCAAGTAAGATTGTTCTTGGAACACCAGGTGAAAAATATCACATTTAGTGCGTTTGATGGCGATTTACGTAAGTAGATGTAGAGATTCTACTCTGACATACTATCTGAGATACTAATTTCTGTAAAACCTTAGCTCACAGGCAGCCAAAGTCACACTTGAAGCGAAGGAAAAACAGCCACGGTCATAATGTAAGCGTTAATAATTTTACCACAAATTCAGAAGCGTCAGAAGTTGTGGTCAAGAGATTGGTATTAAAAATAGATATAATAAACCATCCATTTTAAAAATGAAGCACAGATTATAATATTGCATTCTGTCAAAATCCAAAAACAATAATTGTATAACTGTAATAGTTGGAAAAAATAATTCTGTCAAAAGATAATTGTAATTAATGGATAACTATTACTGAGAAGCTTTTACCATACTTCATTAGAAATGAAAAAGAACTGCTTTTTAGAAGAACTAGAAATGATTCCATTCTGTGCTGTATTCAGTTCAGGAATCAAGAGGATGCAAACTCATTGAAAATAAATTATTTTGTAATTTTCATCGGGTCATTGAAACCTTTCACTTCATGGTCATATTCTATTTAATGTAATGTCATTCAATTTGAGACCTCCTGACAGATGTTACAGAATGCTCAATTTTACTTATTTTACTCA